GGCCTTGGTGAGGTGAATTAAGTAAAAAGGATAAATATTTAATTTGTAAGTAGTGATATTTTATATTATAATTATTCTAGTTTTTAACATTAAATAAATTTTTATGTATAAGTTATAAATAATTTGATTTACATAAATTGATTTACATATGATATTCAAGACTTCAAAATGTCTTCAGCGATATGTAAAAAAACTTATTTAAAGCGATAGCTTTCAGATGATAAACTTGCTTGGCTTTCCAATTTCTGTCAAATAGGTAGTTAAAAAAAAACTTATATTGCAATATGCTATTTTAGAATTAATTTAAATTAGCAACAAGAGCATTTAAAGGACAGAGTGAGATTCATTCACTGCATGAGGTTGGCAAGTAAATTTAAGTAGCGAATTTAAATATCTTTTAAACTATTAGTAAATTAAAAATATATATATAGTTTTTGTATTTGTAAATTTTGTTTTGAGCTTTTGCATTGTAAATCAAATTTTAAAAGATATATAAAAGTTTATGTAAATATAAGTAGCATCTTAAATGTTTTATGCAAATATATCACAAATGAAACGTTTTAGTGCAAGTTTCATTTGTGATTTCTCGGTTGTTATTTATAGTGTACTTTACCAGCAAATTTAGTTTACTGACAGTATTTTTAATTTCTCTAACAAAAAAAACGTTAATAACTTATTCTTAAGTATGTTATTTGTTTATTTTAGTGCAAAGATTTTTTGTATCTTTTCTAACTTAATATAAACAGCAGGAAAAATATAAACTAAGAGTTTTCCAATAATAAGAATAAATAAATAAATAAACAATATATTAATCATATTGAAAAATCTAAACTAGAAAATATCTGACGTCAACTAAAAAATAAAGTTTTTTTTCACATTTGAATGATGATTTTGCTTGTTAATGACAAATATTGTTCTCGATCAATTTAATTATTTTATCATCTTTTTGCATACTAATTATGTTTTTTATATGTCTATTGATTATATATGATGATTTTTTGAACCTGGCGCCATCTACATGGCGCCATCTGCCTGGCTAACACCCTGATGTATACTAAATATATTGCTGTATATTTAGTTCATAAGGTGTTTAACTTGTTTAATAAACACCTTAATTCAAGCATTTGTATTTTTTTCTTGTAGCAAATATAAGTTGCATAATGAAATTCAAAACATAAATATAAAACTACATATGCAATAAAATACAATTTTTTTCTGTATGTGAAGTCTCCATGCTTTCACATTTTTTATAAGAAAAATTTTAATGAAGGGCAAATTTTATATTTTTTTAATATTTAAAAAAATTCTTATTACTATTGTATTGTATATTGTATATGAAAACCAATAGAATATAAAATAGAAACTATACCATACAAAAAGGTACATGATAAGTGTAAGACCTTCAAGCTTTGTGATATGCTATTAATAAAATAAAGAATAAAATATTAACAATTCAATGTTTTGGTGGTTCTAAGAATATAAATTTATTTGTAGGATCATTATGTTGTTTAGTTTTTTTTGTAATAAAGAAATATTTAAATAATTTTATGTGTAATATTTTGTTAAATAATGTGTAATAATTATTTAAACATTTCACTTGTTTTTAAATATCATTTTATATGTACATGTACCTGTGAAACTCAATAACAAGTGACAATTAATTAATGCGTGCATGCAGACAAGTCTTAAAATAATGTTTTTATTATAACAACCAATCATTAAAGTCAGCATAGTTATTATTCATTGTATTAATGTATTATGCAAATACGTGGTTTTCATTATTCTAGTTATAGGCAAGAATTACTGCAGCAGGAATTATTTCTGCAATAAGTTATTTTACATGATTAGGGTTTTACACAAATCCCATGATTCATTGATTAAGCCATTAATATTGTGTTAAATAATTAAAAGTGGCCTACTGGTTGGCTGACATTAAGTTATTCATTTGTATACAAGATTATACTTGGAAAGGTCCACAAAATGACTTGTTAAACAGATTGTCTGATGAAGTAATTAGTAATGGTTAATTTGACTTGCAGTTATTTAACGTATATTCCCACCAGAAGCTTCAATAAGCATTTTAACTTCCTGCTGGTACTTTTGAATAAAATTAAAGCCATATGTTTGCTGCCCAGCATGTATTTTTACAAATGTATGTTTGCCAAAAATGAGAGACTCTAACTTAGTTTTTGAAAATTATAAAAACTGGACAGTTCAACAATGGGTAAAAGTGACATTCTCTAATAGTTGTATACATGGTTACACAATTCTGTCCTTTCTCTTTGCATGTTCATCAACCTATTGATAGAAGATTCAACTAACAAAACTTTACCCTGAGGCACCATTCAAACTCAACAAATTACTTTTTTTTTAACAAATTACTTAAACAAAGGTGACCACTAACCAGAGGTGAAAAGTAACGAATTACATTTATTCACGTTACTGTAATTGAGTAGTTATTTTGTGAATTTCTACTTTTTAAATATTTTTTTAAATGTGTACTTTTACTTTTACTTAAGTATTTTTTTTCTAAAGTATTGTACTTTGCTACATTTGAAATCATATGCGTTACTGAGTAAAAAAATTTATTACGTATTATTTAATTTCACAAATACTATGATTTAATTTTTTTGTTTTTTTGAGTTTTGCTCACTTTAATAAAGATGACACTTTTAAATTGTTTAGAAAAAAATGTTGAGCCCGTTCATAACAACTTTTAACTGCTTTAGCTTTGTTTCTTTTCACTTTTTACAACCATAAAAAAGTTATCTGTGCAAAAAAAAAAAAAATTTATCCAGAAAAGAATAGACTTGGTGATTTTTGTTTTTTTATTTGACAGCTTTGTTACTAAAAAAGTAATGCAGTAACTTTTACTCTGAGTACATTTTTAATAAGATACTTTTTACTTTTACTTGAGTAAACTTTCAATTGGTATCTTTTACATGTACTTGAGTAAAATTTCACTCAAGTAACAGTACTGTTACTTATAATATACCAGCATAGTACTAATAAGAAAGCTTTTATTGATTCCTGACAAAACTATTAAATATTTAATTTACCAGTTAAATTATTATTAGTTTTCAATCTTTTTTTGATATATTTTTTTGAGTAAAAATAATTTTTTAATATATTGTTTTACTAATATATTTGCTTAAAGCAGGAATAACAACTTTGTTTATAATCAGAATAAATATTTTATTTATTACCATAATATCAAATTATTTTCTTTTTTTTACACCAGAATATAATCTTACAACCTCACTCTTCCAAATTGAGTTTGAATGCCAACCAAAAACAGTCTGAGGTTGGCAATTTTTTGCTGACCTAGTTTCGATGTTGTTATTGTAACCTTTCGTGTTAAAAATTTTGTGCCAACGAAATAAAAGTTAAAGCTGGGAATAAATTGGCAATCTTATTTTTTTAAATTCCAAGGGATGTAACCTTTTAACTTAGGTAAGATAAAGCTGAGTTAAAAGGTACCAAAATACTTTAGTCTAACCAAGTTTAATGAGAAAATAATTTCAAGGGATTATTTTGTCATGAAATGTGTAAAAAATAAAAAAAAAAGCTTTGTGCAAGATTACAGTAAAAGTTTAAAGTTTAAAAAAAAACAGTAAAAAAGTAAAAACTTTTTTTTTTATATATTGAATTTTTTTTTTTTGTTTGTTTTGTTTTTAAATTTTTTATGTTAATTCACCTCCCCAAGGCCAAGAAAGCCACTACAGACAAGGAGGCTACTTAATTGTGGTTATAACCCTCTCTTAACTCCAAAACTCGAACCTTGACAAACAAAGCCACTGCATGGAGAAACAAGTTGAGCATTTAGCGTAGTACTTCCAGGGACATGGTGGGGATTGAACTTAGAGTCACTCACTTATGAAGCAAGCGCTCTATGGCTACACCACTACCACGTTTAAAAATATAAATATAACGAATAAAAAATATATATATATGATGATTAAGCAAAAGCTAATAAATTTTAGTTCAAAATCCAAATGTACCTCAATATAGATACAATTTGGCATTTCTTATAAAACTTCTAAAAATGAAGAATTTTAAATATAAATATTTTTAGGTCAAGTTAAGAAATCCAAGATATTATTTTTTGATTGTAAGTTAATTTGATGTATATTACCTTCATACTTATTTTACATTTTTTGTATTTGAGAGTTTTGTATTTTAAAAAAAAATCATTACGAAAAGGAGATAGTGAAAAGTTTTCTTCATGTGGCAATTTCAGGTAGTGAAATTAAAATTTTAAATTTCTTGTTTTTTATTTCAAAACTTTCAAAAAGTTGTTTAGATCATCATCACTGGGAAATTAATTGTAACTAAATTGAAACATCCTCATCAAATATTTTATTACAACTAAATTGTAACATCAAATATTTCATTGCATTAATTAATTTAAATGTGTTAAAAACTATATATTTCTCCTTCGCATTTTTTTTTTTTTTTTTTTTCTACTGTATTTGCAAACCTTTTTACAAACTACAATTAAGGAGGCTACTCTTTTTTTTGTTTATTTATTTTTTTAATCTATGTTTTTTTTATTGTTGTTACAACCCTTTACTCAAGTTATTAACTCTGAAACATGGGCCTTGATAGACAAGGGCATTGAACTAGTACAAGGTTGGGATCAAATTCAAAACGTCTCACTTATGTAGCAAACATCTACCACTAAATATAATATAATATTAAAGAATGTTTATTTATTTTTGGTTCTATGTTAATGTGATTTTTTTCCCTTGAGGATACAAAATTGTATTATTTTTTTATTAATGACTTTTATATATTATTGTGTGTGTGTATATATATATATATATATATATATATATATATATATATATATATATATATATATATATATATATATATATATATATATATATATATATATCTGTGTGTGTACATATATATATATATATATATATATATATATATATATATATATATATGTATGTATGTATATCAATTGGACAAAGTTTTTTCTTTCTTAGAATTGAAAGCAACCATGATGTTACAATTCTTGGCGGGTTAAATGAGTTTGTTGTTAAATTTTTTGGACCAAAAGAAAGTATGACTTCATGTATAAATATGTGTATGTGTGCGTCTATATATATATATATATATATATATATATATATATATATATATATATATATATATATATATATATATATATATATATATATAACCCTCAGAAGTAGGAAAATTGTGGTCGGCAATAATTTGCCGACCTCAATCTTTTAGAGGTCGGTATAAGGTCAACAAAAAAAATTTGATACAAAGGTCTTACCATAAAACATCAAAGCAAGGTCAGCAATTTTTTACCAACCACAAATACTTTTAGGTTGGCATTGCGAAATACCGACCCTAATTTCGATGGTTGTATATATATAAGTTTTATTCAAAAATACATCAACCTTGGTCTTAAAGGTTTATGCTTATGCAAAATGAGAATGTTGTTGCTAAAAGTGGTGATGATTGGAACATAATAACAATTATACCTAAAAAAATTTGCAGCCTTTATCCTATATGTTAGAGTGATGAGCTAATAAAAAATTTACTACCATATACTAAAATCAAATTCATTGACGGATTTTATTTTTATCTAATAATTTTTTAGTGTTCAAAATTTTTCATGTTAAATTTACAACCCCCTTTATTTTGGGGTAACAATTTAATAATTTTGTAATAATTTAAAGATTATTAGATAAAATCTAATTCGTTTTGATGAGTTAAAATTTAGTATAATAAAAAAAACATTTTAAATAAAGGTAAAATTATTTTATAAATGTATTTATAAACCGTACATTTAGGGTTAGGTCTGCAATCTTTTTGAGGTTATTTGTGTTCTTTTGCTTAAATGATTGCATTTTTTTTCAAAAAGTTCTTATTTGACTTTTTTTCTTTTTTTTTAACATCTTCACTTCCAAAAAAACTGCAAGCAACCACTATTAGATTTGGGAGTTGCAATTAGAGTTGGAAATTGCTATTTGAATTTGTTATTAGAGTTAGAAGAGAAAAGATGAAGTTTATAAAGCAAGATAACAGTTTACAGACAACTTAAAAGATTGCGAATTACATGAATCAGGAATACAAGATGAAGGAAGCGAATTCTAAAGAACTGATGTTCGAGGAAAAAAACTAGATGAGTAAGAGTTTTTAGAGCACTTATGAACAGTCGCAATAAAAGGATGAGACTTAATTGAATGACAAGTAACACAAGAATGAATTTTAGTAAATAGCGCATTAGATACTATCTCTTTAGAGCAGCGCCTATTATAGTATTTCTAGAAAAGAGAAAAAGAAGCAACATTACGACAATGTGACAATTGTTAAAGATTACCTGCAAGAGCAGTTCCATGTTTACAATGCATTTTCACCTTGTTTAAAAGAGAAATGTTATCATTGTACTAAACAAAAACACACGCAAAAAGAATAGTCTGTGGATTCAAACTTAATTTTCAAACAAATGTGTGAATTCTGATAAATGTAAATGTCCAGGTCAAGTATGTGACTACTGGAGTCTTTACAAATTAAAGGAAAATAACCATCAACACAAAGATCACAAGATGAGACAGCTGAACTCAAATTAGTTTCACAAAGAGTAAGTAGGTCTGGTGAGTCTCATAATAAGAAAAGATACTTTGAATATTAGTAAACGATAAATTTAGAGAACTTGTTGATAAAGATGATTTTGTGTTTTATAGTTTTTGATACTTTATTCGTTGTTAAAGAACTTGAATCGAAGGTGGCACTCAGTGCACTATCTAATAGTCTAAGCAATTGCCTTATTACTATTAAAAACCCTAAGCCGTAACAAAGGGCTAAAAATGTGGCATTGATAATGCACACTAAAAATACAAACAGGGGCACCATCCGTGTGCAACATAACACTCTTAGTACTCTGATATTTTACAGCTGTTGATAGAATCAAGCCTCCTTAGAGTTTGGGAAACCTGACAAGTCAGTCTCAGAACCATAAGACTGAATTGTAAAGCTGTACCCTCATTAGGAGATAATAAAATAAGTTGCCTAGTCATAATGACAGAGACACAAGCAAATCCCATGCATTGAGTCTAGAAGACCCAACATTCAACATCCTAAATTGGAAACAGTGTAGCTGAAATCAACATATCTAAAACATCAGAAAAATCCTGTGTCTGCCCTTGTACGATGGAATAGATTGCATAGATGGAATAGATTGTAGCCCCATATCAAACTTTTAGTCATTGTAGTGGCGGTCCTTTGTGGCAGCAGGCTATAAGATAGTCAATGTATGTACTAAAACCCTGGCAATTTCAGTGTGATGTTGCAGTAATTGTCTAGGTTTTTTGCCATTAAATAAATTTCTTTGATTATTTTAAATAAGTTTTATTCTTTAATCTCTCATTGTCATTTTTACGCATCCAAGTTTAGGAAATATGAATGGACAAAATGTTTTTAAACAAGTGGTAAATAAAATAAAAAATACATCAGCAGGCTTTAGATAAAAATTGTTATAATATCAAAATCATTTTTATTTAGCTCCATATGAAGGTGGGATTTGGAAAATTCGAGTTGATCTACCTGATAAATATCCATTTAAATCTCCTTCAATCGGTAAGTAGAAAAAAATGTGAAGTATTTTAAGTTTTTTCCTTTCAGATTTCTATATGAGAAATTTTTTTTTTTTTTTTTAGGTTTTTTGAATAAAATATTCCATCCAAATATTGATGAAGCGTATGTCTATTTTATATGTATTTTTATTTAAATGTTTTTTTTTCTGTATGTATACACTCAGGAGATGTTGCTTTTGTAATTGATGTTAATTAAGACTACATTGCAAAAAAAAATAATACATTACAGGGCTCGAATTGCAATGCAAATCAAAATGCAAAAAAATCTAATTGCCAAAAAAAAAAAATTTTTAAGCACGCCCCCCTCTCTCTCCCCTATCGCCGCACTGCGGTAATGAGGGGAGGGGGGGTGTGCGTAAGAACAAAATTGTATCTTTCGTACATTAGTTCGTAGTGTTATTTTTTTAACATGTTATCCATCATATTTAAATATTATCTTATAACTATATATATATATATATATATATATATATATATATATATATATATATATATATATATATATATATATATATATATATATATATATATATATATATATATATATATATATATATATATATATATAAACACACACACACACATTATATAAATAAATTTTCTAAAAGGTGTTCCGTCACATCAGGAGGCCAAAATTGCTAAAATAGAAATTTATTGTCGCTGGTCTTTGTTGTTTCCTTTAATATAACTTTTTACTCAAATATAGGTCAGGATCAGTTTGCCTTGATGTAATTAATCAAGCATGGACAGCATTGTATGGTTAGTGTATTTTGACATAAATTTAAAACATGAATAGTGTATTTTGGTCCAATAAATTTAAAACATGAATATTATCAAATCTTTTTTTATTATTATAACAAATTTTTTATTCTTATTTGAATTAAATGAAATTGTTATATTTTCTAGATTTAAATAATGTGTTTGAATCATTTTTGCCGCAATTACTCGCCTACCCAAATCCTATCGATCCACTAAATGGTGACGCTGCGGCGTTGTATCTTCACAAACCCGAGGATTATAAAAAGAAAATAAAAGGTATGTTTCTAAACTCACTTTATATATATATACATATATATATATATATATATATATATATATATATATATATATATATATATATATATATATATATATATATATATATATATATATATATATATATATATATATATATATATATATATATATATATATATATATATATATATATATATATATATATATATATATATATATATATATATATATATATATATATATATATATATATATATATATATATATATATATATAGTGTTCAAAAGTTATGACCATATAAAGTTTGCAACCCCCTCAAATTGAGGTTTAAACTTTACATAGTCATAATATTTGAATACTAAAATATTTTACTATGAAATTTAAAATTTCTTGATGAATATAAGTTTAGTTAAAAATAGTACAAAGAATATTTCATCAACGTGTTGCTTTCACGTTTGGGGCAGGAAGGGGGCTAAAATTTTAGGCATCTTGTTCCCATTCACTTATTACAGTAATTTATTTTTTTAAAAGAATCTTTTTGTTATACATATGAACTTAAAAAAAATTGGAATGTACTTGTTTTTTATAAATTGGTTATTTCAAACATTTAAAAACTTTCCTACGCCACTATATATATATATATATATATATATATATATATATATATATATATATATATATATATATATATATATATATATATATATATATATATATATATATATATATATATATATATATATATATATATATATATATATATATATACATATATATATATATATATATATATATATATATATATATATATATATATACATATATATATATATATATATATATATATATATATATATATATATATATATATATATATATATATATATATATATATATATATATATATTTTTATATATTTATATATATATATATATATTTATATATATATATATATATATATATATATTTATATATATATGTATATATTTATATATATATGTATATATTTATATATTTATATATATATTTATATATTTATATATATATATATATATATATATATTTATATATATATATATATATATATATTTATATATATATATATATATTTATATATATATATATATTTATATATATATATATATTTATATATATATATATATATATATATATATATATATATATATATATATATATATATATTTATATATATATATATATTTATATATTTATATATATAATATATATAATATATATATATATATATATATATATATATATATATATATATATATATATATATATATATATATATATATATATATATATATATATATATACTATATGTATATTTATATATATATTATATATAAATATATATATATGTATATATATATATATATATATATATATATATATATATATATATATATATATATATATATATATATATATATATATATATATATACACACATTTATTTTACATGTTTGGTTTTTAAATTTATATTGTGTTTTGTTTTGTTTATAAAGAGTATGTAAAAAAGTACGCTTCGCCTGAAGTTTTAGCTGAACAAGAAGAAGCAAATATGTCCGATTCTTCAGAAAGTTCGCTGAGTGAATTTTCTGAAGATGAAACCGCTGACATGGAACTATAGTCTGTCTTTGCGACATGTTTGTAATTATATTATTTTCATATATTTTTGCGTATTTTAGAGCATATTATTGCCAATCTTTTTTAATTTCTCGCACTCGCTTATAAAAAAAAGTAATTGAGTGTAAAAATTATGATTATAAAATGTAAAAAGTATAAGTATTTTATTTCAATTTATTTTTTCCAATTTTATGTTAATGTATTTTTATTTATTTTTTTGCTTTTTAGTTTTGTTTTTTCTTTTTTTCTTTTTTCATTTTTCTCTTTGGTGTTTGCCAAATTTCTTTACATAATTTTTTTTTTTATTATTATATCGCGGTGCCTTAGGATTTATTTGAAATAGTAAAACGAATTATGTACAGTTTGTAAATATAATATTTTCGTTCGAGTGAAATTACGTAAAAATTCAACGTTATTTTTCTATCGCGATAAGTTTTCATGTTTTATTGACTTTTACAGTTGCTATTTTACAGTTGCTATTTAAGACTACTTTTTGAGTTCAAATTAAAAAATTAAAATTTATATAAACTGCAAGCGTTCTTAAAAAATAATATAATTAAAACTGAAATTATGGTGGTTAAAACAAAAATATAAACTCTAAATTTCATAGTACTAATAGTAACTCTAAATTTCTTAGTACTGTGTCAAATTGGTTTTGAATAAATAATAATTTTCTGAAGTTAATTGTTTTTTCATGTTTTAATCTTGAATTTTTTCTAGACATACGTCCTAGCAAACGTAATGCCTAAATTTATGCGTTGCACTATTTAACAAAAAACAAATATTTAAATTCTATTAAGATTGAAATTCTAAAGTTTATATAAACATAGTTAATTTAAACAAGTTCTTACATAGTTAATGACATTGTTGTTAGGGTAGGCAAATAATAAACTTTTTCAAAAGTTCAAACTAGTGAGTGTTTTCTAAGGCGAAATTTGACGCAGAATTCGATTCTGGAAAAAAATTGAAAAAGTTTTTTTTTTTTTTTTCAAGATGGCTGCCAAAAATAACCACTGCCTCAAACTTCAAGTACTGAAGCCACAACCGTGGCCTCTATCTCTATCCAATATCTCTTTTTAAAGGATTTTGAAATTGCTGATTCAATTCTTCAGTTGTTTCATGCATACAGTGTTGGACAAAACATTTGCAAACAACATCGAACAATGCTAAAAAGTGTTCCTAATTTTACATGTCTTAAAAACAAAACAAACTATACTACCATAGCAAACAGTTCAGGAGTCTGGAGTCATAGCATGCCATGCCATAAGCAATCAGGTGACAGCACACACGCAGAATTTTGTTGACAAGTGCCATTTTGCAGCGGACAAAACAAGTGCAACTTTTTTGGTTTGTTTCATTTTCTTGAGTCTGGTCCGTGTCAATGTCTCGGAAGTTTTTTAATAATTAAAGAAAGTATCCAGAAGCATGCAGAAGTTTCCAGAAGACGCATCTGGAAGCATCCAGAAACATTCAGAAGCATCAAGAATCTTCCAGAACAAGTTCACACAGGTTCATTTTACTATATAAAAGACATGTAAACCGACATGTAGTTCAGTCAGTGTATGGAAGTCAATCAGTCAGTATTATCAAGACAGTTTATTGAAGTGAGTTTTATCAAAGTGTTTTATCGAAGAACATCAATACAAGAAGTGAAATACAACAAATGTTTCATTACATTAATACAGTCCACATCCAACCAAGACGTTGTGTTCCACAGAGCATTATTGTATCATCATAAGATAAATGTAACATGATAAGCCTTGAGAAGCTTGATTATTTATTTTTATTATTTTTATGACTTCAAGCGCAAAAATGGCTCCCGACAGTCTTGGATTAGAACTAAGAAAGAAAATTATTGGCGATTACGCAAGTGGAATGTCACAAAAAAGTATTTGTGATAAATATCGCGTGAAAAAATGGACCGTATCAAGACTATGTTCCAAATATCGTTCTACGGGGAAGTTGACAGCAGATAACAGAGTTGGAAGACCGCGTTCCACCACTTCTAGAGAGGATTTTATGATCGTCAGATCCGTCAAGAAGGATCCCTGGATATCATCAGTCGAGATACAAAAGCAATTAGAGCTGCCTGTATCGGACCGAACAATCAGACGACGTGCTGTTGAAGCCGGATTGTTTTCTCGACGCCCTGCAAAGAAACTGCTGATTTCACTAAAGAACCAGAAGAAAAGACTCCTGTTTGCTCATCTCATATTGACTGAAATGTGCAGAAATGGCGAACTGTCCTGTTCAGTGATGAATCGAAGTTCAACATCATTGGGAGCAATGGCATATGCCGTCTACATCGACCGGCTGGAAAACGCCTCGATTTACGTTACTGCCTTAAGATCGTTTGACAAAAGTAGTCAAGCAGTGGTTTCAAGACAACCACCTATCGGTGATAGATTGGCCGCCTCAAACTTCGGATCTCAACCCTATCGAGAACCTGTGGGAGATCGTCAACTTCAGAATTAATCGTGAAGGTGTTCGTAATAAAGGTAAACTGTTTGAATAAATCCAAAAGGCCTGGGCAGCGATTCCACAAAGTTTCATTGATCACCTGATCAAATCTATGCCTCGAAGATGCAAGGCTGTGATCGACAACAAAGAATCGCCACGAAATATTGATAGCGAAATACAGCTTGGTCAACATTTTGTGGAGTTGCACTTGTTTTGTCCAGAAAGAAATCAACTTTTTTTAATATTTTTTATTAATTTATTAATTTTCGTGTACAAATAATGAACTTTAGGATGAATAAAACTTAAAGAACGTTGTCTCTAAACAGTTACATAGTTATTTCTCTAAAGTGAAAAAATGCAGCACTTTTATATAAAGAAACTAAATTAGCATTATTTGGTTGCACTTGTTTTTTCCGATACTGTACAAAGAATCACAAGCTCGACACAGTAATAATCTGGACTTTTTACTGTTAAAAGCAATAATACGCCAACACAATATTTGAATGATGATTTGTAACCCGACTCACAAATCAACTCATTGAATAAGAATTCTCCAAGCTGTTTAAAAATCATAAACTCGGAGTATTTTAATAATCATTATCATCAACCACATGAATAAACATTCGCATGTCATCACTCTTCACTGGACTGAAATCAGTAGTGTATTAATGTTGTTTGAGAGTTCACTTTCTTTTTTATTGCGTTACGAATGGAACATCTTAGTTCGTCAATTTTAAAACTTACCATTTTTAATTTTCTTTGATCAAGTTTTATTCAGGCGCCATCGTCAGACGTAGGTACATTATTTCATTGATCATCTGTTTCTCGTTGAGTGAGTCCAAAATGTCGACAGTTATGGGACCGTTGTGTTATTTCCAGTTTTCAAGAAGTTCTAAAGTTTTTTGGGACCTAGCCTATAAAAAAGCTTCCAAAAACAAAAATATCCCCGGCCCCAAGAAATCCTAATCCGCCACTGGCTTCTAGGTTCCTGACTTGTCCTACTTCGCAGGAAATCCTTGCCCATTTCCAACGTTTTTTCTTCTCGCTTCAAGGTAATTCTAAAAAATCTAAATTAAGCAAGTATGCATTGATTGTTTTACCATTCTCTCTAGAAATGGTCTGTACTCATGTATTTGCACATCATATATTTATGCAATTTTTAAGCTTTGCGAACTCCCAGTAAACATTCAAGATTTGTTAGTGGCATGTGCTCAATTTTACTGTATGTTCTCTCACTTTCAAGTACAGAGTCTTTCCGTACTCCATCAGAGTCTGGATAAATGACTTGAGAAAAAAAGTCCATCTCTTTTAACTGTTGAACCAATGAGTCTATAATTTCAGCCAAGACAGCAGCAAGAAGCTTTCCTCTGCGACAGTTTATGTCAGCATTACTTCTAGCTTTTTTCAGTTGTGATAATTTTCTTTTGAAAAACTCCCGCATACCGCTCCAACTTGAATCATATTTAGCTGTTCTTGGCTTGTCTCCTTCTCTTATCAATTTTAAGTAATTTGATTGTAAGAAAAATAATCATCTCGCCTACTTCGGCATTCACTTCAGAATAGAGAATGAACCAATCGTTCTGTATATAAAATTGATACGACTGTTACAAGTTTGTTCGAATTTTTTTAACAAACGCTTCAAAAAAGTCTTTGATTGATTATCTCCTGGTAGCTCTTTTACTATTTTAGTAACGAGCTCTTTTACTATTTTAGTAATGCGTTTTCCATTTTGCTCTAAAAGTTATTTTTTTTTAGGTTTAGCCATTCTAAAAAGAACAAATATAATTTTTGACAAATTTTCTAACAAATTATTCGAAAAATCAACATTGCATTTGTCAAGTGACAGCGAAAGCATTTGTAAACATCTTTAACTTTTATTTCTTGGGGTACCACCAAGTCAATTTTGTGGATTTTGAAAAGAAAAAAAAAAATCAAAATTTGGTTCATTAATCTTTTGCTCACAGAATACAAAAATTTTTAATGCAAAATTTTAACTTTAAGTAATAAAAATTTGGGTTTATATCAACCAAGTAGTTTGTAATGTCCATAAAAATGCCATAGCAATCGATATATAAACAAAGATATTTCCAATGTATAACTGTAAAAATCTATATATTTTAAATATTTAAAATATTTGAGTATTATAGCCTACCTTATTTATTTTTTCGGTCATAAGTTGAATGATCATTCAAATTCTTAATATATATTCAAGTTGTTACAAAGGTTCTTAAAAGCAGTATTTCTAGTATTTTGGAATTTTGCGAGTTATACTATTTACTGTTTGTACTATTTTAAAAGCATAATAAGGTAACAAGCAGAATTTTGTTTTAAAAAAGAAAAGAACTAATGTTCACCTTCTGAGTTGTTGTAAAAATGATCGGCAAACAAACTTTCATTCAACACAACATCAACAACCACAAAAGCAGAGTACCATCCAATAACAATTTTCTTTTGAAAAAAAAAATCTTGAAGTAACTGAAAGTTACTTCAAATGTTTTGGACTTTGATTAGAGTAAATTTTCCTATATTAAAGTTTAATGATGGTCCAAGTGGTTTTTTGTTTGGTTTTGAGTTTAGTCTTTTTAGTTATGCAACGTCAACCATATCAAAGCAAAAGTTTTCTACTCACGATTGTCATTAAAAAAATCAATCCCCAAAGGAAAACAGTTAAAAAGTGTTAAAAAAAGGATACTCGAATAAAGTTAAAAAAACTGAAAAAATATCATATGAACCGGAGTTTTTTTATATTTATTCCAGAAATTATATATTTTTTTATGTTTTTTGAATAATTTTAAATTTTATATCGCAAATTCTCAAAATATCACTAGTTTTCAAAGTTTGCGAAATGATAATTTTTCAAATAGTTATGCAAAAGTGCTGAAATTTTCACAAATTGTTCTTCGTATGATTAGAATTCATTTTAGAAAAGATTTTTTTCAATGAAT